ATACAATTTGTATTTTATAAGGATTTTTCAGACAATATATAGAAAACAAAATGCTAACGATAATTTGAAATGAATTTGTCATTCCTCCTGGCTCCCTACCAGCATAATCCCACTCTTTCTCCTGTGTTCTCTATTACCATCTTCTTGGTCACCACATCAGTTCAGACTCTTCCTTCTTATTCCACCCTCTCTTCCAATTAGTATCTTAGTTTGATGAATTTTATCTCCCGCTGTCTCTTAGATCTGCTCCTCCTTCTCCATTATCAACATTGCTTCCTGAATTGAGGATTACTGCATTAGCCTTGCCCCATACCAAAATCAAATAGGTCTTTTAAAAATGAAAATATGCTCACTTTACTTTCTTGCTTAAAATCCTTTTTAGTAGCTGTTGGAGGATTAAGGGAACTGTCTTTCTGGATAAAATTCAAACTTTTAAACCTAGTTCCCAAAGCATTTCATGATTTGGCTTCTACCATCATCTTGCATCTCATTTCCTGTTACTGCTCCTCTCTCAAACTTGTCTTCAAACAAGAACTTGCAATATCTTGAATGGCCCATGTTGCTTTATGCCTCTGTGTCTCTGTTACCAGCTATAGCCATGCCTTGCTTAATTATAGGGATATATTCTGAGAAAAGTGTACTTAGGCAATTTTGGTGTTGTGCAAATATCTTAGAGTGTACTTACACAAACCTACACGGTTTAGCCGGTCATCTCCTATGATAACAATGTTTTTTTCTGGAATACTTTGTTGAAGGACCTGCCTGAGGCTATTTTACAGTTAACTTTTTTTATAAGTAGGAGTACACTATAAAATGACCACAAAAAGCACAGTAGGTTTGTCTATACCAGCTTCATTACAAACGTGGGTAATGTGTTGCCCTATGATGTTACTATGGCTAGAATGTCACTAGGCAATAGGAATTTTTCAGCTCTATTATTATCTTATGGGACCTCCATCATATATGCAGTCCCTCATTGACCAAAAATGTTATGCAGCACATGACTGTTTTCCCTTCACCTGGGTTGTCCTCATTCAGCCGATTCTTACTCATGTAGCAAAGCTCAGCCCTGGTCATCTTTTCTAAAACATGTTTACTGACCTCCAGATGCTAATTTAGATGTCACTTTTCTGTGTCCTCGCAGTCTCTGAGCATCTCTTTCATAGGACTAACCACTGCATACAGCAAACATCGATTTACCTGTTCAGTAAATCTCAACTCTTAATTCCTTGAGAGTGGCAAGTACCCAGGTCTTATTTGATTAACAATGCCTGACATATAACAGATGCCTGGTAAATGTTTGTTAATAAATTAAAAAAATCAAAGCATCATTTTGTCACTTTATATTATACAATTTTATAATGATTTTATCTTTGCTTTTATGACAATTACCTTTCATAATTATGGTTTCTCTGTTGAGTCTTTGGTAAGGAATATGAGCCCTATTCTGTTACTGTTTCTCTTGGAAAATGTGATCTATTTGACAACATGGTTTCCATAAACTGCCTGGTAATAAATATGTAAGACAATGGTCATTCTTAGAAGGGAACAATAATTGTCATGAGATGATATTTGCTTTTGTTTTTAAGGTAAGTCAACCTTCTTAGCTCAATAAAGGTAAAGTATTTTAAAGAGAAGTTCTCAAAGAGAATCTGTTTGGAATCTAGGATTATGCCATACAGGGTATAGCCTTCACTATATTCTATTATTATGTGTGAAATACATATACATGTCATATGTTATATATACAACAGATACATTTGGTTAAAGATCACCAAGTGCTCTACCCTCTGATTATTTTGACAAATTGCCAAATCGAACTACTGCCATTTCACTGTGGAAGGAAAGCAGTGAAATGGCACATGATTTTGGCATTTGGGAACTGGCCAATGTTTATCCTATGGATAGCAGAGAAAATGACAGTGAGAGCATTGTTCCCAAAAACTTGGAAGGAATTTTAGCTCAGTGGCAGGGCCGAAGTATCAGGAGAATGAATTCTGATCCAATGAACTCTGTATAATGCTTGAAACATATTTTAAATAGTTTTCTGCTTTTTTTTTAAAGGCTTTGTCCAGTGACACAAAGTGAAGGACTAATGAAGAGCAACTAATAAGTTTCAAGTATTTGGAAAAGTGAAAAAATACTGAGAGTACAGACAGTTTTATTTATATATCTATTGGTCTATTTTCAAGTAGAATTTTGAGACTTATTTGGAAAATTTCTTCTAATAAAGACATAGTATAATTTGTG